ACCCCCCGCTGGCCTGCCTTTTGCACTACCAGTGCACCGTCATGCTTGGCCGGAAGATGCATGTCTGCGCATGTGGACAATTGACCTCTTCCACTCTTCGACACATTTCCTTCATGAGCATGCTACTATGACCGGACGTTTCTTTCCCTGCAAAACTTGATTATAGATCAATTGATATGCCGTACGGTGTACACGTGATCCTTGGCATGCAATCGAGAACGTTTAACGTACCTTTGAAGTTATACATGTCAAGCCAATAATGATGTCAACCGTACGTACACGTTGGAGGGCTATTCACACGCTAGGCATTTTTGGCCCACCGGCTGAGCGGGCTTCTAAGTTCCATTGTCTCCACACTGTTCTCGTCTCCGAGTCTTCCAGCTAGGTGCGCGCTAGGTGTCTCGAGCTCAATTCCGGCCCCGCTCATCAAGTTCCCGCTCGATCTTGGAAGGATCTTGGCCCGGCCGCCCTGTACTGAGCGAATTGGATACATACGCATGAACATACACAATCCTCGAAGCCTAAATATATGCACCACAACGTACTCGACACAGAAGTCCAAGCCAAGCCAGATTGGATCGAAGGGGGATCGAACCTACATATATACGTATTGCCAGATGCTACAATCAATTTAGCTGCATATGAAAGGTCTCTAGCTTTTCGTTGTGATCGATGTAGCATGCATGCATGCGCAAAGCCATTGCTAGATAGGCTTCTCGGATACATGGCATCGTACAATGATGTACGTGGTGTGTGTCATGCTCATGTTAAGTACGGTAGTCCTGCTCTTTAATTTTACAGTCAAATGTTCATGTGCAATGAGCTCAATGAGCCTAGGCCTTTTACATGAGAGGTGGTTTGCCGACGGTAAGTGCTGACTTGCCGGGCACTGTCGCGATATCGACTGAACTTGTACCGCCCAAACCTACCGTGGGCTCGTCGCGATCGGCGTTTTACATGGCCCAGTGCATGGTCCGAGGGTAAGTCGATGCCGGGTATTAGTCCCGATCGATCGAGGGCAAATCCGCACTCATTTGGACTTACCGGTAGTGACCATGCACGACTGACCACCGTTTACCTCATGCATCGATTTCGATGGAGTTAAATCGGGGCCTACCATCGATAAGTCGACTTACCACGGTACTACGGTAAGTCGCTACCACATGTAAAAGGCAAGTCGGGGTGGAAAGTCCGAAAATCGACTTACCGACGGGACTTTAACCTCCATGTAAACGCCTTGCAATGACTCCTCCAAGCCACCTATATACCCGGGGCCGCATGCAAATGCATACATGTGCCAATATGAGCGCCGCGGTATAATCTACCTCAATGTACGTACGTGTATACATCCATAATGCATTCCGGACATGCTGCGCCGGCCAATATCAATTTGTGACGTCATGTGAGCGCGCACGATGCAATCGGATTCTCATTGGCTTGATTACTAATCTTAAGTCAGTGACCGCGCTAGCTGTTTCAGTGACGCAAAACTTGAAACTGTTGTATGTTGTGAATGTCATCATAAATTTGACAGATAGCCTAGTAGGCCCGCATGTGCGGCTTCAAAAAAGTCACCACACAAGTCAAATATATGATGGACCAGACTGAAAACTCAAGGACGTCCCTGAGCCGGAGCGACGCCTTGATATTAAAAACAAAGCGAGAACATGACTTTGAGTGACTGATGTAACCTGTAGCAACCAGATCGCCATATCCAGGACCAACGTTACCTTGCTATCCGTACCTTCTGGCCACAGTACACAATATGCATCAAACTAACGACGGCCCCTCCCCTCACGGCGCCATGAGCGCGTCGATGGTGTGCCCGACGCTGGTGGCCCAGTCGGCCTTGAAGAGCAGCGCGTGCAGGGTGTCCATGATGTTGAGGTCGGGGTCCAGGCGGCGCTGCCAGCTCTCCAGCACCAGCGTGGTCACGATGACGGTGCACACGGAGCCGTCGATGTTGACGCGGTGGCGTCGCACCTCCTCCAGCAGCTCCGCCATGCACTCGCCCGTGTGCAGGCTCGCGCGCTTGTCCACGTGGAAGCTCTCAAATAGCTTCTCCACGTCCGCCACGAAGCGCGCTGGGTCTGGGCACTCCTGCTGCCGGCTGAATTGCAGCGTCATCTCCGCGACGCGGCGGCCGTCGCGCTGGGCGACGCCCTTGAAGAGCTCGAGCAGCGTGTAGCGGTCGCGGGGCGCGAGCTGCGCGGTCATGCCCACGTCCAGCAGCACCAGGTGCGGGTGCTTGCGCCGCCCCTCGACGCGCACCAGGATGTTGCCCGGGTGCAGGTCCGCGTGGATGAAGTTGTCCACCTGCAGGTCATGGCGCGGCCGGAGGGAGAGCGTCAAGAGCAACCAATACGGCGGCACAGCATAGCGCCGTAGCAACAGGATGAAAATGCGCGAAGAACCACAAGAACGAAAAACGCGACGTCCTCCGCACATGGGCGGAGACGGTCGACAAGGGCAAAAGAAACCGACCCGCTCGTTTCCGGAGCAATTCGTCGGGTGAGGTTGGGCAAAGGGCACGAGATGAACACTAGACACTGTTTTCACTTCGACAACAACTCGGAACTGATAGAGCCTGAAAGCCAAAGAAAGTCAAAGGAATCAATGATAGAAGCCAAGTTGCAAACATGGCGGCTCGCAGGAGGTGGGGGCGGGGCGGTGCTTACGAGGAGCATTTTAAGGAGGGTGTGCGTGCCAATGTGCGCGAGCTGCGAGTTGAGCTCGGGCTTGCGTGAGGTGTCCATGAAGGCGGCCACGCTCTGCCCGCGCTCAAACGTCTCGACGAGCACCGCAGGGTGCACCAGCGGGTACACTGGGACGGGGAAGCTCACGTCCTTCCACCGCCGGAAGTTGTACAGGAACCGGCTCAGCTGCGCAGCCTCGCGCGCCAGATCCACCTGCACGCCAGTAACGGGCTAGGGTAAGCCGGGATCGTAGGGCGGCGCTGTCGTGAGCAGAGTGCGAAACTTCCAGGTGCGACAGGGAACATGAACGAAACAGCGTCTCTTTGCAGAGGCTAAAGCGGAAACAGTTTACAACAGCAACGAGACCCTTTGAATTGCATGCTAAGATAAACAATCTCCAACAACCAGACCTGAACCGGCATCACAGAGGCCGCTTGACGAAGCAGCTGGGGAAGAAGAAGGGAGTCACACAGGTTACTGCAATCTGGTACAGAGGCCCCCTCGCGAGCCGGCCGGCGGCTGACCTGCTCGAGCATGAAGACGGCGAATTGCGCGACGGACTCGTCGAGGCGCATCCAGCGCAGGCCGGGCAGCGTGGAGCAGAGCTGCGCCATGGTGTTCATGATGACGAAGTCGCGCCGGATGATCTCGCTCACGCCTGGGTGCCGCACCTTGACCGCCACCTCCTGCCGCTTGGCCGCGCCCTTGAGCCGCACGGGGCCCCCGCGCTTCAGCACCGCCTTGTGCACCTGCTCGCACGCAACGCACGGAGCCACAACGTTAACGGCGGAGGCACACAAGCACCCCACCCTTGCCAAGCGTAAATTCTGGCGTTCTCGTTGATGCTGCTGACACTTTGCTGCATATACGTGCTTGATCAGGTTTTTGGCATCGTCCACGTCAATGTCCTTGATGAGAAAAAACAGCGCAGTATTGTCAGGCGAAGCGGCGGCAGTCCGGACAGGAGTGCTGACCTGCGCGATGCTGCCGCTGGCGACGGGGACCTCCTCGAAGTCGTCGAAAAGCTCGGAGATGCGGCGCCCAAAGGCGGCCTCTACGATCTTCCGCGTTGTCTTGAATGAGTGTGCGGGCGCGTTGGAGTGCAGCTGCGTCAGCTGCTCGCACATGTCCTTGGGGAACAGGTCCGGCCGCGTCGCAGCCCACTGGCCCCACTTGATGAACGCAGCGCCTGCACACGCCGCCACACGCAGGCGTCAGACAGGCCAGGGAACACACACCATGGCCTCGTCGAACGGTATTTTCTGGATATTGCTCGTGTCCTGGGCTACAATGTGTCGAGAAGCAGGTCACCGAAAGCAATGAGGAGTAATCATGAACAGAACAAGAGAATGTTACACACCCGAAAAGAAGTGTCTCGATCATCTCATCGAACCAACCTTCTTTTGCCAGGACTCAAGCACGACGTGAAAGCCCCTAGTTTCTACCGACATTATCGACTGCTTGACTGAAGAATGTTTGCAAACGAAATTTTCATCAACTTCAAAGTCATCCGCATACAACCTTCCAGTCGAAGCTTCACAACACTGTGCTTTTTAAACTATTGGGATATGTCGGGCTCTTGCATGGGTCTCCAAACCTCTCCAAAGATATAGTGCATCAAGCCCCATCGCACTGCATCACAAAATCCATTCCGCTTAGACAACTGCCTTGTCGGACAAGGAGACATTCGTAGTCTTGAGGCCTAGCAACATTCCAAGAGCCCAGAAACAAGGTAAGCACAGACCCCTTGGACATCAGCTCGGGACGTCCTTGTTCAAAGACGCCAAGGGGCTCCATCGATTCAGAGGCCCCTCACCTGCTTGTTCGAGGCTGGCGTGCACCACTCGCAGCCAGAGCTTGCGGAAGCGCGGCCCGAGGCTGTCGGCCAGGGGGGCCATGAGCACGGCCGGGGTGAAGAGGAGCAGCAGGTACATGCTGCGCAGCACCAGCACCAGGCCCTCCAGAGACTGCACCGCACACCGGGGCTGTGTCAAAGGGCAGTAAGCTGGTGCGGGCAGATGCCCTGGCACACACACTGTGACGGGCCAGATCATCAACAATGAGGTTGACAGCGAATTGACTGACTTTAGATCATCCTATGTCGCTCTTGCCCTCACTGGACTGTGGTCTCACAAGGCTGCTTCTTAACCAAAGCCCCGTGGGTGGTTCTCTCACCGCCTTTATTGCGGCCCACAGCGGGGAGGGCGGCGGCGCGGCCCTGCTGTTGATGTGCATCCCGGGGAAGAGCGGCTCCGCGTACACCTTGCTGCGCCAGCTCTGTGCCACGACCACCGCAAACGCGCGCGCCGCAACATTGGAGCGCGCACAGGCCAGGCTGATGGCCCCCACCGTGCGCAGTGCTGGGGGCAGGGCTGTCCCTCCTCGGCTGCCCTCCACCCACGCCTCCCACAGCGCCCGCCACCCATGCCGCAGCTCACCCGCCCGTCCCGCTGCCACGCTGTGCATGCCCGCCCGCCCCCCGCCCCTGGCCCCCACCGCACTGCTCCATGAGCGAGGCCCTGTCCACTGCCGGGCTGTGCCGCGGCCTACCCCAGTGGTATAGGCTCGCACAGCAGCGGAAGTCAGAGAAAGCTGCTGCTGGCCGGAGTAGGACAAAGACTTTCCTCGAAGAGAAGAACTGAAGTGTTTGGGATGTAGAGTGCAACGGGTGGTGCGCGCCAGCAGCAAACTGGCCGCTTTACTAACTTGTCTGCTTGATGTGAGTACTAAGGCTACACCAATCGGCACTGTCGTCACGGATGCGCCGCACCGAAGCGGAGGGCCCTGTGCCAAGACTGTCTGAACAGGCTCCTTCCCCAGCGCCCTCCTCGCCTGCGCCCCCGACCTGCCACTCAGACCATGCCTGCACAGTGACGAGGCCCTTTAGAAAGAGAGGAGAAGATTGAAATCATGCCCAGAAAACTGCTGGAACTACAAAAGATACAAGGGTGACTAGCACACAAGACAGCCAAAAGGCAGGCAGGCTAGGGGGTTCCAAGTTTCAACATCGGGTCCTCTTAGGAATCTGCATCAAGGAACACATGATATAGAAGTGGAAAGGGCAGCTGGCAGCTTTCAACGTTGCTTAACAACGATTTTGCGCCACTGCAAGCTGAGATGAGGTGGTGGCCTTCAGGCTAGTTGCTGATGGCTGCCCACTCGCTCTGAGCACTGGTGGCCATGCATGCAGCGCGACTACTCCTTACCCCAGAGCCCTACGTGCGCCTTCTCCCGCTTCACTTGCTCGGATGAGCAGCCTTCCCCACAAGGCCATGCAACCCCCCCCTCAGAGTCACCAAGCTGGGACGTGAAGATGCCCCGCGAGCAAAGACATGCTGTGTATTATCAAGTCAGACAGTCCTAATCAGCCCAGCACCACGAAAAGGAAGAGATCTAAGCCTGTCAACCTGCTTTTGAATCCTGAAGACGGTGCTATCGATTCTGATCAGACTGGTGCGCCCCTGATGCGCCCCTGATGACCACCTCTGTGACCTTGCCACCGAAGGCCAAATTGGCTGCCTTCTGCCGCCATGTTTGGTAACGTAGCCATAACCGGAGGTTTGATTCATAACCCCCTTCATAACTTCACACCGGTGGTAATGGTGGTCTTCCCCTCGGTAATGGTTTAAGACCATTTGAGTTTTTAGGGTTTGAGGGAGCTAGGATGTCAAGCCATTGCCATTGGCATTGGCAACATGGTATTCCATGGACATTGAATTTGAAGCAGCACAATCTGCCTCATTCCAATATATTACTTAGCCTGACGAGGGCGCCATGGAAGCCGTTTTTGTGCGAGGGGGCCGAACTGTCTTCCCTGCAGCCAGCACGAGCTATGGCCCAGAGCCCAGTATAGGACACGACGGCATTGCAGCTTGTGTCATCACAAAGAGGCGTCATCACAGAAGAAGCTGCCAGCAGGCGAAGGCAGACGTCCTCGCTGGAGACGGTTCAGTGGGTCTTGGTTCTATCTTGGGCGGCAAAAGAGTCTGCATTACAAGTAGACGAGAATATGCGCGGGTCTGTTGCGCAGCAAGGCGCCAGCGGATAGCCTCCATAGCGCCCCTGTTTGACAATCAGCAAGCCAAGGATAATGCGGCGGGAGACAAGCGGGGGCAGCGGCAGGAGGAGGAAGAGGAGGAGGAGGAGGACATGGACACACTCAATGCGCGGCTCCCACCCCACCATCGAAGTGGTGAGCCGCCGCTACCCATCGCTAGGGAGGCACATCGCCGGACATGTTGTGACAGGTTCTGTACGGTGTTAGTGTGGCGCTGCGGTGAGGTGCTTCTGGTGTTTCTTCTGATGCTGGCGGTGGTGGTTGTGTGGTGCAGGGTACGTTGCAGTGGTGGGCAAGCCGAACGCGGGCAAGAGCAGCCTGATGAACCAGCTGGTGGGGCAGAAGGTGTCCATCGTGAGCCAGAAGCCGCAGACGACGCGGCACCAGATCCTGGGCATCGTCAGCGAGGAGGAGTACCAGGTGGTGCTCTTTGACACGCCCGGCGTGATTGCGGAGCGGCGCAACAAGCTGGAGGAGGTGATGATGCGCAACGTGCGCACCGCCATGATCAACGCCAGCGCCGTGCTGGCCATCGTGGACGCCACGCTGGAGCCCATCCGCATCCTGGAGGCTGTGCACGACTCCGTGGACCGCACAGCACCACCCAGCCAGCCAGGTCAGTGGGAGGGAGCAGGAACAACGAGGATAGTGGGACCAAGCGTTGCGTGGGGCTTGGCTTAGCCTTTCGTCTCTGACCCCGTCATGAGGCGGTGGGCTTTGGAAAGAGGGGGGCTCCTTTGAGCTGGTCCGCCCTCAAGTTGTCTGGGAACACGTTTGTTTACGAATGTTTTGTTTTAATAGTCTACACCAGTCTGTGAGGGGGGATAGAAGCTGGTGGCCCTTGCAGTCAGTAACACCAGAAACAATCTCCTGGGTAGGAGACATGACCAACGCCCATATCGTGCGAATTTTTACAGGCGGAAGCGGAGGCGAGGGTGGCGAGGTGGGGGAGGAGGAGGAGCTGCGCGCGATGCAGCGACCCCTGCTGGTGGTGCTCAACAAGAAGGACCTGGTGCGCCCCAGGGACCTGGCGGACAAAGTCGAGGTGGGGCACAGCACACGCTGGATGTTATTGCTGATGAAGATGTTGTGTACACCTCTGAACAGTGTGTCAGCTTTGGGGTGAGGAATGCGGCCTTGAGCTGACCAGTTTTATGATTGTTATAAGATAAAGAGTGAATTTCGCTTTCACCGTTCGATGGGCAGTCATCGACCACTAGTGCGCAAAACTAAACTACCTTCCCTTCCCTAAACATGGATCGTTTGTCACTTGTGTTGCCTGTTGCGGTGGCCCCGCGCCCTTTGTTAGAAACGGGGCACAATTGGCCCTGCTGATGCGCACCTGTCTTCTCAATCTGCAGTGGTACGAGCAGAACAGCGGGGCTGATGACGTCATTGCCGTGAGTGCCAAGTACGGGCAGGGCGTGGGCGCGGTGCGTCAGTGGATGCTCTCCAAGATGCCCCTCGGGCCCGCCTACTACCCCAAGGTGGGCGCCTCACGCCTCTTCGGAAACAGACGAGCAGGCTAGGAGGAGGCTACCTCCACGCCCTTGCCAAGCTATCTTCCTACTTCAGAGGATCGGGCGTGTTTGTCTCTGTTTGAGGGCAATGGCGACTTTGGCATTTGTTATCGTTTCGGGAGAAAGCGAGGTGTACACGTAATCCCCGTCTCATCAGCAAAGCCCGGGTTTTAGCTTGCGGCATGGTTGTGCAGGACATTGTGAGCGAGCACCCGGAGCGCTTCTTTGTAGCGGAGATCCTGCGCGAGAAGATCTTCTTGCAGTACAAGCAGGAGGTACCCTATGCCTGCCAGGTCAGCGCGCCCATCGCCGGCCGGTACCGCACACGGTCGGTGGTGGGACGACTTGCAAAGAGCAGCAGGTGTCTGTCATGCCTGCCAACTCACAAGGAGAAATGTCCTTGTCACAGCCAAGCGCTCTCCGTCAAAATAACTTTGGAGCCCTGGATGCCAAGAACAGAGTTGGCACCTTCGCAATTCTGTGGTTGACATGGCTTTGTTGTGGCGGCAGGTGAATTGCGTGGACTACAAGGCGCGGCCGGCGGGCAAGGACATGATCTACCTCGAGATTGTGGTCGAGAAGGACAATCAGAAGGGCATCCTCATTGGCAAGGTGGGGCGCGCCGCTCACACCCCCTGGCGTAATCCTGGTGGCACAAAGCATAGCCAACAGGGCAATCCCGCAAGACGTCAATGGACGTGCGCATCCGGTCCTTCTGCAGTGTGGCAGCAGCAAGACCTTTCTTCGTGGACAGTGCTTGACTGCAAGTCTCTGAAGGTCGGCCTGAAGTATGGTGCAGGGCGGTGAGGCGTTGAAGAAGCTGGCCATGGCGGCGCGCAAAGACATTGAGGACTTCCTGCAGAAGGAGGTCTTCCTCGACGTGAGCTGCCTCTCGTCCCCTCCTCTGGCCGCTCTTCTCATCGATGTGCCACAAATCCGTCCGCTTGGAGCGCTGGGTCAAGGCCTGTCACTGTTTATCGATGTGATTGTCCCTGCTACAGCAGTGGGTTGCCCCTGCTGCTTCTGTCTTGGATGAGAGCCTTGCTGGTGACGTATGCGCTGTCCTTTTGGATGTGCAGCTGCGCGTCAGTGTGTCCGCTGGGTGGCGGGAGGATGAGCGCCTCCTGGACATGTACGGCTTCGAGGACATCCGGGCGTGAGTCCTGACAGCCGACCGCGGATCCGGATTGGGGCTGACCACAGGGCTCCTGACACAGGCCATGCATCGAAAAGTGTCAAATTCGAGGGGGAGATTATGCATTGATAGAACTGATCAGATGTTGCACAGGTTGTTCTGAATGTCCTACACAACTGAGAAAAGCGAACATCTGTGACCACGTACAGGTCCGACGGACACAAGTAGAGGGATCTGGATCATATGACCCTTTGTGCCGCGAAAAGGTGGTTGGGTAGAATGAGGACTTAGGAATCTGAGATGAGCTCGACTGCTAGTTTTTATGTAGTAAGACTAGCAGGCTTGGTGCTTGCTAGCGGACATACAGTGTTGGGTCACGTGCTGGTGCCAGGTAGCAGTATCCGACTAGCTGGATGCTGGCGAGGCGGCATGGTGCAGCATGGCAGGATCCTGCGCCGGTTATGGAGAAGAATTCAGTATCCTGTTCACCAATTAACTACTACAAAGATTTTTGAATATAGATTGAATCTTTTCAAAGCCAGCCTGACCGCGCTGCGCACTGCTCGGCCGGGCCCGGTCACTCAGGACCGGCCTTGTTTCGGCCACTCGAAGTTATTGCAGCCTCACATTCGTACGAATTTGCATCCATTTCAGGTTTCTCAATAACTCCAAGCATTGCCAGCGCACAATGACAGCTGTTCAAATATTGCAGGACTGAAACGGCGCGTGTACCAGTATTCTTGGCCTGCTCACTGAGCTTATAGATATATGCGGATTGAAATCAAACATGACATGTCACCGGGATTTGACAATCAATTGCAGTCCACGTGCGCATGCTCCAATTACCACATATGGCGGCAAGCGCTCCGGGCTGGCAACCCACGTCAAGCCTGCCGCGCCGGCCTAATTGCCAAAACGCATAATCATGGGTTGTCAGGCATATTTGCGATGCAATCCGATCGGCTGTGCGCCGCGGCGGTAGTCACTGTTGATCGAACTAGGTCATATAGGCGAGTAACATGCATAAAGCATGCGCCGGGCTGGGGCGCTCTGATTGGGGCGGCTGTGCACTGCATGCAACCGTGAACCGTCTAATGTAACCAGCATACACCCGTGGTTACGTCCATATGTACGAGAATGAAAGGTTTGATCACCCGGCAGTCGATCGCCCACATGCGTCCGACCAACGCGTGGCGGCGCTAATCGGCCCGGCCGTCAAACGAAATCGCTGCAGGCTTCATGCCAAGTCCCGCATCTCGTTAGTGTGACCCTCTTCGACCGTCGCGTGCTTCAGACGGCGCGCGACCGTGTGACAAATGACGCACCTTAGTAGAGTCGTTGTAAGGAGGGGCACGTACACAATGGGCGATCAGCAATGCATTGTCGTGAAGACAATTGCAGTACAAGATGGTCAGCGGTGCAGGCAATTTTGCTCCTGCCAGTCTGCCGTGTCTTCAGTCGTCGTCCTCCTCAACTCCGATCCGTTGTCGTCTCCGTGCCACAACGGCCTTGAACGCTTCCGCCTCGTCCCGCACCTGCGCCTTCACTTTCCGCGCCCATGCTGCATGCTCGTGCGCGCTACTGTGCTGGAGCGGGCCCGTCTGGTCCTGCGCAACCGGACACCCCAACCGGAGCTTACATCTCAGTCAATCTGGCCATGCAGACTTCACCTCTCTAGGCTCCTAAACAAACAAGCATTCAATCTGCCCCAGCCTTGACTTACCATAAAGAGCGATCAAAATGCGAGGCAGACTTTGGAACATAGTCGCCAGTGGCAAGGCAAGCAGTCACATCCCACAAATCTTCAATCTGGGCAGATTCGGCAGGGATCGGCGGAAGCAAGCGCTTGCTGAACGGCCGGATGCGCACCTGGGTGTAGCCCGCCCCCGGGCCGATCTCAAGCTTCCGCTTCTTGCTCAGGTCCACGCCGATGCGGAAACCCTTGGCAGCCTCCTTCTCGCCCTGGGCCACGGTAGAAGGAGTCCCGTCAGACGTAAACGCAATTCAGCAAGCCAAGTTGAGCCCTCTTAATACGAGAAAGCAGAGCTGAACACTGGCCGCCACCTTCCTTGGAACACCTGCATGCTCCCGCGCCCAGGCACAGCGCAGCCTTGGCCATAAAGTCGACTTGCAGCTCAAAGTGTCCGCTGCACGGCCGGTGGCAATACACCGCCTCGGTAGCCCTTACCTCGAGGTCGGCCCACTTGACCTCTTTCCGCGGCCCGCCCTTGCTCGCCGTGCCTGAGGTCGCCCCCGGCTGGGGCGGCTGCCTGCGGGACGGGCTGTCTGTTGCCCGCCACTTCGTGTCGCGCTCGCGGAAGGCTCCCTTGTCAGGCCGCGCCGACGGGCGGGAAGGGGGCGCGTGGTGGGGAGTGTCCGCATCTGCTAACAATGGCACGAAGAAATATCAGGATCGCAGCTTGCCGCGTCCTTAAGCACACCTGTGTACTCCATAGTACCGTAGGTTCAGGCGGGACCACCTAGACCGCAGCAGAATGACTACTCAGAATGACTACTAAATGCAACTCTTTCTTCATCTTACAAGCGGTCTCTCTTCAGAGCGGCACTTCAGATGGCTCGACTGCTGGTCGGCAGAGGCACGGCGGAGAGCATGCCGCACTCACCTTCTTCGTCGCTCTCGTAGAGGGGCCGCTTGCCGGCTGCTGCGGCTGCGGGCGCGGCTGGCGGGGCCGGATCGGGGTCGGCGTCCATGTCCACCTCCGCGATGTCGCCCGTATCAAGAAGGTCGCCGCGGAACAACGACTGCCGTCACCACGAGCGACAAGCCACGTCAGGCGGCCAGGCAGAAGTCAACGTCAAGGAGTCGGCCGACCATCCGGCCTTTTTAGCGTATACAATCAGACTGAAAATTCAAGCAAGCCTCTGAAACTAAAGGCGAGTGTGACTCCCTGCAAGGTCACACTCGCCATGGGTGCGACCTCTTATTCCTACTTGCGTCGATCCCCGCAAGCATGCCCCAAACCTGATTCGAGCGCGGCTGGCTGCGTAGCGTTTGGTACCTGCACGTCTAGCTGGAGGTACTGCGGCGGCAGTGGCTCCCAGCGGCGGGCCATGTCCGTGACCGCTTCTAAAGTGAAGCCGTGGATGTTACGCCTGGCACATGCCTGCACAGCAAGGGGGCGCGCGTCAAAGGGGACGCTGAGCGGGCTGCCGCAAGGCCTCCTGTCGATGCCCGTGTATCAGGCGAATCGGAAATCGACCTAGAAACGAATCTTGCGAATCGGGGTGTAGGCAACAGACACAATGCCACTTAAAATTCATACGAACGAACAAAACTGCCACTTTTCTCTAGCCAATTCAAACGATGGTGTCACGGATTGACCTCCAAAAAGGGTCACTTCGGTTAGAAAACTATGATGGGCATAGTGCGCCCCGCAGCGCGTGTGGCCTCACCTCTGGGTCGAGCTTTGCTGGCTGCAACACGTACACTTCAAAGCCGGAGCTCTATAGCGGAGCAACAAGCAGGGAGGAGAGCGGCAAGCGAGCAGGGCCAATTACCGAGAGCAAACAGCAGCAACGGGGGGGAGGGAGAACGGACGCCGGCGGGGAAGACGGTCGCCAGAGGCAGGGGAGGGCAACAGAACGTCAGCGCGGATCAATAAGAACAGAACGGACGTGCCAATACACGACGGACAAACCCGGTAGACGAGCTAAGTGACTGCCAACATCAGAACGAGATTGACTGAACGCCGTATCCATCGTGATCACGTTTCCTGGACCCGCGCTCCACATTTGAACACGAGAGCACATCGTGCAGAAACATCGAAGTTCTGAGGAATACCGAAACTACTTTGAGCAGAGCTTTTAGCCGACCAGAGGGGCAGCGAGATGAAGGGAGCATGGTGTACCTTGGCGGCCTTCCAGTAGGGCTCAAACTCAGACACGACAAGATTCCAGTAGTCCACTTCAGTGGCACCGGGGACAACAGCGTTAGCGCAAGCTCTGCACCGGGGTCAGCGCAGGCAGCAAGCAAGCCAAAGGCATCGGGATGGGCGTCGTAATACGCTGACGCGGCTGCCCATCAAGCACATGAGTACGGGACAGGTTTTTGGGCTTCCCGATTCGATGCCCTTTTGTAACGAGGAGGATGGCAGAAGATTCAGAAGCGAGTACAAGATGACAAAGCTGTTGTTCTGTTGTTCTTTCAGCTTCCAAGTACAACAGCTGTTACCATTACGGGAGACCTTTCCCCTCTTACCGTGTTAACGGGAAACAGAGGAGATGAGGAACATGCGGCAAAAACGACGACAGAATATCCGGAAGGAACAGCAGCATCGGAGAGGGGCAGCGGGCCGCCTGCAGAGCGCACATACCGATGACGAAGTGGAAGCGCCCCTCCTCCAGCGTCTTCCTGAACGCCTTGAGCATGCTCGCGGCGTACGCCTGCGAAACAACCACCACCCAGAACTTCGTCAGCGATGTGAAAAGGTGTGTTGAGCATTTGCTGACCATCAGATTCCACATGCCACGACGGCCAGAAGTCACTAGCCGAAGGAGAAGCATCTCGTGTTCCTCTGGGTGACTCGTAGCCGCGCTGTGCGGGGCTGGTGGTCGGCCGCACCTGCTCCAGCTCGGGCTCGTAGACGTACTCCATGGCCGTATGCGCAGACTTGCGCTTCCTGCCGCGCCCGTCCTCCACCTCCACCTGCAAAATACGGTTTCAACCTATTGGTAACGAGCCAGGGAAGACGAGGAAAGAAAGCACAGAAGAGGAGGCGGCGGAAGAAGAGCGTACAATGCATCATTCCCCAAACCAATAATGAGGCAACAGAAGACGAAGGAGGCGACAAGGCAACCTACACATCATCAACCGCTAACAGGCTCCCAGCGCAGGCACTCACCTCCTTTTCCACCTCCGTGACAAAGTAGTCGTCCATGGTGTGCACGCGCGGCGCGGAGCCCCCGTTCATGACCTCCACGTCGCGCAGCGCACGCGCCAGGTGGCTCTTGCCGCTGCCTGAAGTCAAGAGAGGGGTGGGTTGTACCTACTTCAAACTGCAGCTCACCGTGCTTTCTGTAGTAACGCCCACCGCCATAAAGCCCCGCATACTTACATGAATGAAACAGACAAATCAACGAAGGCCTTCGACAGAGCCTGAGCTGGCAAAACCAAGCCCCCTTCAGGCCAGGCCCGTACGACCATAACGAGTGCGAACGTGCATCGATTCCCAACCATGTAGTAGGTCGCACGGCAGGACAGATGCGAATGGTATGGCAGATCCGGTGGACGTGAGGGAAGACAATCAATGGCAGGCTCAGATCATCGCAGCTTGCCCCCTCCTCACCTGGGAGCCCCCTCAGGATGACGACAAAGCGGTCAGGTCGGGTACTGCGCCCAGGCTGCTTGAAGATGTCGCGCGCATCCACTCGCCGCGGCTGCTCAGGGACAGACACCAGGGGGGGCGTGTGGTGGAGCGGGAAGGGGAGGGGCATCGCCGGCGCCATCTGGAGACATGAGGCGAGTGTCCGCTTAGGGGGTATGAGAACGATAACCAGTGCAGCGCGCTCTACTGCCCCGCCGCATTCCTTCAAGCTTCCTCGACGGGGATCGAGAATCGGTGGAGGTCCACCTCACAGTGAGCCACTGACTAGCGCTCCCCAAAGAGACTCCACATCAGCAGAAGTTGGATCCTGCAGACTCACCATTGGTCGTGGGTCTGGAGCCCCCAAATACGGCCCCCCTTGCAGCATGCTCAGCAGCATGTGTGCGCCTATTTGCGGCTGGCCGGGGGCTGCGTAATAGTCGCGGATGCTCTCCATCCCCGACCCTCGACCTGCCCCGCCTGCGGGCTGGACGTCTGCTGTTGAAGCTGCCCCACTGGCCAGCCCCGCACCGTCCGGCTGGGCTGCCGGCCGCTGCCAGGGGGGAGGAGCAAACACCTGCCCCTCCAATGGACCAGCTGAACTGCTGGGATGAAAAGAACCCTGGGGGGCGCTCAGCGGTTGGTTCTGGCCTGAAGACAGGTGGTCGGGAGGCTGCTCGTGGTCAGGGGGTGAGCTCGAGGCCGCTGCCGCAGCCCCCCCGGCATGGCCCCAAGCCAGCCCTTCCCACTGGGGATTACCACCGTGAGGGTGAGGTCCATCCACCCAGCGCACCCTCCCTGACAACGCGTCCTGCTGGTCCGGCGGGGCGGGCCCTTGTTCGTGTGTCCACAATGACATGACTTGCATTCCGGAGGACCCGGCCTGCAAACCCCAAGGAGGTTCTATTTGCCCCGACTGCGCCCCATTCCACGAGTGGCCAGCTTCCCAGCTGCCCTCGGCTGGCTCCTCTGGTGGGGGAGGTGGCTGCTCAGCTGGTGGCAGTGGAGCATGGCCGTCTTCAGGGGGCAAAGGAGGTGGCCCTTCTTCTGGGCCCGGAGGCGGGGGTGGGGGGGATGGAGGCGCCACCTCATGCCAATCTTGATCTGGAGGGGTGGCCCCAGCGTCAAACCATTGGCTGTCATAAGGCTGCCATTGCGCGTGGTCTACCGCGCTCCCTGCCGCTGGTGCCGCGCTTTGAAAGAAAGTGTGCCCTGACGCGGGCAGCTGGTTGTACTGTTCGTACCCCGGGGTGCTAGCCTGTGAGTCATACTGGTGGTGCGGCGGTGGCACTGTCGGAGCGCTGTAGGGCGCCTGTGGCAGCGCTTTGACGAGGGTGCAGTACGAGTGGTGCGCCGCCCCTAGCGGCGCCCCGCAGTAGTAGCACACCCCGGCGGCACGCCCAGCTGAGGCCACCTGTTCTGGTGTCACCAGCGGATGGGACGCCATCCTGCGGTGGTGAGGCCGACTTAGCGGCTGCGTTTCTCCAACGATCTGTTCATCAGGCTGCTGCGCACTTCCCACACTCCACCATGATCACGAAGAAGACCACCATGCACTGGCATAGGAACACTAAACACCATGCGGGCGCCTAGCTGGGGCAATAGAAACTTCCTACCCACTCTGTTGTCTATTAGCTCTGGCAATGAGTGCAACTAAACTTTCCTGGGGATGCATGAACTGAGTTTCACTTCAGCATGGACATGGTGAGATCGTGAATTTGCCTCTCCGAGTCCAAGGAAGCAGGAACAGGCTGCCCCACTGGGCTACTGCGCTGAGCCCAGCACGATCACTTGGATTCGGAAGTTGGATAGGGCGCTTCGTTGCCCTTCCGTCGTCCGACGCCCCAGGGTCAAGCCGCTTCTCCTACAGCTCAGTGGGGCCTTCTTCTTGTTCGTCGCAGCCACCTTTCTCCCTTGCAAGTCGTGGCCATGAAGGATGAGGAGGCGGTGGGACCTTTGCCGGCGCCAACGGCTCCGGTGGCTGTCTTCTGGTGAGCCACAGCATGCGGGAGCCCAAGAGAGTCTGTCTGCAGGAGTCTCTGGCACAAATGATCGGAGCATTGCTCTAGACTGCGCACATTGATTGCTGCAGTGACTTCGAGCTTTTGTTTGTTGTTTGTTCAGCAAAGCACTTGGCATGGGATTAAGGTCAATGACAAGCAGGTTGGGTTGAGTTTGTTCATCTTGCATTGCAGGATGCAGAGCATTGCCATCCAAGATCCAAGATAGATTCAAGCCTCTTGACTTTGCCGTGTCCTTGTTCCAATGTCTGTCGGTGAACATTCAACTGGGCTGCTGGTGACCATTCCAGGTTGCTCGCAAATCCTTGCTTTTGCAAGGGTTTTGCAAGGGTTTCCTTTTTCTTGGCGACATTTCCTTCTTCCATGCTTATGACTCATGTGCACTTATGTCGGAGAAAGGCTTCAAGCCCAAGCCTTCAGCTCGAGGATGACACCATTTGTAGGTTATACAAGATAAGGTGGAAGAGCTTTGCCGGCCTTGACAGCAGTCATGGCTCAGAGATTCAAGGGCCCTGATCGTCTTTTGCTCGCTCTGGCTCAGGGACCTGGAGAACTGCCATGTCCCCAACTCGGTGGAGGCAGCAGAGTTGGTGGGTCACATCTTTACGGCGCTGCGGCAGCGCGGGCTGTCCGGCGTGATTCACATCCAGGCGTATGCGGACACGTCCATTCTGCCGGTGGAGGTCAACTCAGGCCTCAGCAGCACGGGGGTGCACCTGCTGCATGTTGCGCGCGGTCGCAAGGAGGCCAGCGATAAAGCTATCCTGGTGAGGCTGTGCAGCCTGGCAGGGCAAGGAGGGCTAGCTGCTGAACAAACCCATGGAAAATACTCTGTTCACACTGAAGGCGGGGTGGACAACAAGATTTGGGGTTGTCAGGTCAAGGACAGATTGAACGGTTGCTTCAAGCATGAGGATTGTTGACTTGTTTGTACTAGATTCTGCTCCGATTTGATTTGGGCCCTCTACTTTAGCTGTTAATAATTCGTGCTAGATTGCATTAGCATCAAGAATGTGGTGTCGCTTGGAAAGTTGCAGGGAGCACTCAGTGCGCGTGATCTCTAAGCGCATGCCGCTCGTGTTGGCAGGTGGACATGGTGCTATGGGCGCTGGACCACCCCCCCCCGGCGCACTTTTTGCTCATCTCGGGCGACCGCGACTTCTCCAACGTGCTGCACCGCCTCAAGTTCCGGCAGTACAACATCATGCTGGCCACCACGCTGTCCGCCAAGCCCAGCCTCGTCAACGCTGCCTCCCTGGTTTGGGACTGGGCCGGCCTTGCGCGCGGCGACCAGCTCGACCCCGTCCCGAAGGCCAAGCGCCAGTCTGTCCTCAGCCCTCCTCCCTCCGGGGAAAGGAGGCCGCAGTACAGTCAGAAAGAGACGCGGGGCTACAATCAAGGGGAAGGCAGCCGCCAGGGAGGCTCGTCGACTGGGTGGGGGGATGAAGAGCCTCGGAATTCGCAGACAGAGGCGTCGAGGGGCGAGGAGATGGACTCTCCAGCAGCACGAGGGGGAGAGTCGCAGGGGCGCGGCGTGTCTTCTGCCGTGCGGGAGATGCTGTCCACAATTGTGAAGGGCCACCCGGACGGGTGCTCGGTGGGCGAGGTGATGCAGGCGCTGCGCACGCACGGCTTCAAGATTAACTGGGTGGGCATGGGCTTCCCCAACCTGCTGGCGCTGCTCAAGGCGCTGCCCGACGTGTGCCTCGTGGACGAGGACGTGCGCACCAAAGAAGGCTTCAAGCTCACGCGTATTTATCCTGCTCGCCAGTCTGCCGGCTCGTCGCGCAGGTCGAGCGGGGCCCTCGCGGAGGAGCCAGAGACGAATGCGAACTATGGCCAGGGGCACAACAACCAGACCCAGCCGAGTCACACGAACCAAAGTTCTCAGGGTCAGTACAATCAAAGCCCTTCAGTCCAGTACAACCAGAAGCCCCCAGTTCAGTACAATCAGACTCCCCCGGTGCAGTACAACCAAACCCCTCCGGTTCAGTACAACCAAGCCCCTCCTGTTCAGTATTCTCAAGGGTCCCCGCTGTTGCACACCCCAGAGCCTGCTTTCTCGGGGCCTCGCCCCAACGGTGCTGTCTCCCCACGGCCGTACGACCCCCGGCCGCCTGTGGCCCCGCCCTCCACTTACGGTCAGGCAAGGGGCCCGGCGCCGCCCGCTCACTACTACCAGAATCCGCCAAGGCCCTCCTTTTCAGAAGCGAGAGCAGAGCCAAGGGGGCCTGCCCCGCCTCGCTACCAGGGGCCGCCTTCGAGTGCGGCGCCTCCCCCGGTTGCTCCCGGCGAGTTCCGTACCCTTGTGGCAGTGGTGTGGGAGCTGCAGAGGCAGGCAGGGGGACAGCCACCCGACCAGAGACAGGTGAGCAACGAGTGTTGGGTGGCGCTCTCCTTGCGGCTTGTTCAAGAGGAGTCTCTTCAAGTCTTTCTTCTGACTAGTTTGATCCTCTAGGAGTGTTGCAGAAGGCCTATCATTTCCAATGCTCGTACCGTTGCCAGTCTCTGACTCGCTGCTCTCTTGTTTGCCAGGTTATCTCGATGCTGCGCAACGAGCACGGGGAGCTGTTTGCCTCGCTGGGTGGTTACGGCCCATATGAGACGCCCTTCAAGTACATTGAAGCCGCGCAGCGTGCTGGCTACCTCGACATCCGTGCTGGCCCCGCCCCAGGCTCTGTGGCCCTCGCCCTCACCCCCAAAGCCGGAGAGCACGCCTACGACTTTCCTCAGAACCCCCCGCAACAGGCAATCCAGCCCTCCCCGCCCCCGAGAATGCCGTACTCCAACCCGCCCTCCAACCCGACGCCAGCCCAGCCGATACGCCCTACGGTGCAGGTCCCCCCT